AGACTAAGGCTACTTCTTCGAGACAAGCTTCGATGACTTCAATAACCGTACAAGAGAAAAGTTTCTAAGTTATTCGAAGAAAATCAGCGTTACATATATACTAGTAGTAATAGCAAAATAAAAGAGGTGAAATGACTTGTCAATATGACTTTAAAAAGTATCTTTTCAAAAAATGCTTCATGTCACACTGTTTGTCACAGTGTTTTCTCTTGGTTCACTTCAAAAGCATCTTTCTACTATACATTTTTAAAAATACTCTCTTTGCAATCACTCTGAAAGCTCGTTTTATTCACGAAGTGCTTTGGTTTACAGCAGATCAAAGTGATTTATTTTCTCTATATCTGACAGGGCTATGTTTAGCCATGCGCTTTATAGTAAAACAGTTTTCATAAAAAACACTTTTTGTAACACTCTATTTTTTACAGTGTAGTTCAGCACAAATCCAGACAGATTAAACGAAAGTTTTATACATTTAGAAAAGCAAAATTCATTTTCAATAACATAAACTATTTAAATTAGAAAGATTGATTTTGGTCAATTGACTCTTCTTGAATATACCCTGGTCGTTGATTCTTATATAAGAAGTCAGTTAAGAATCACACTGGAAACTTATAAATATCAAATACAGTTCGTCTAAGAGTCTGATCATATTCTTAAATAAGATTGCGCAGGAAAGTGCCAAGTTCCACACGAGCCCTATAAAAGTCGAATACGAGTTTCATAAGAAGTTCATTAGAAAGCATCGTTCTTTTCCTAGCTCAATTTATCAGACTACCCTGAATTGTAGAATTATCGATGCTCAAGACTGTAGACTCTCATTTGTTCATTTAATAGAAATCGCCATAATAGGATTTGAGAAATTTATTACAATAAACTTAATACAACAGTAAATGCTAATAAATAAGAAAAGGATGTGTTCTAACATGAACCACTTCTATTTTGCAATTCACTAATACTTCCATAACTCGATTCAATTTCTTCACCACGATTGAGTAAAAATTTATTTTCGCCATGATCACTGGCGTGTCGTTTTTGATTTCGAAATAATCTTTTTTCTAGAACGACAAATGGTGATTCGAATAGGATAACAACTAAAATGGCTCCCACATAGCTAAAAAATGCTTGGGATACAAAACTATTGATGGCCATAATGTGTTGATAATGTATGGGTGTTGTACGATTAAAATTAGTGACGAGAATGATCATTGTGTGAATGAGATAGGCAGCATAGTTTAAGCGAGCCATTGGAGTCCATATTGGCCATGAGAGAATTTTTGAAATGATTCCACCATTTCCTGTACTACACAAAAACAATAGCCAACAAATAGCGAGACCCCAACCGGTACGAGATAATGATTGATAAACAATGAGAGATGTACGTGATAAACCTAAATAAAAACAACAACTGTTGATCCACAAAGCTAGCAAATACATTCAGTGATTGATTAATCTATTTTCGAGACAATTTTAAATTTTAAATCTGTATCGTTTTTTTCATCAACAAGATCATACTATGAGAATATAATGTAAAATTATAATGTACGAACCTGCTGTTGTGATTGCATCAATATAAAGTGTAAACATACAAATAATAACTAATAGAAATGCGCCACAACTTCCAATTATTTTGATATAAATATTTATTCGATATGTTCGACCAACATTGATGACACCAAAACCAGTTAATAATCCAAGAGCATAAGGTGCTATTCGACACCATGGTTTAATGTATATTCTATCAAAAAATGTGTTCTCCATTGTTAAACTACTGTTCATTAACGATCGCGAAAGAAAACCGTTTTCCATACCGGGATAATGTAATACTATACCCGCAGTTGACAATATAGTGACTAGTACAAATAATAGAACAACTGAAATGGCTATTTTTCTACGATTTAACACGAATGGTATTAGAGCTAAAGGTGCTACCCAATGAAATTGCATATCGTTTGCTAAATACCAACTAACTAGTGTACATCCAGTTCCTGTTTTAATGAAATTATTTAAATACAATAAATTTACCCACCAATACTGATGACATTCAGCACTTTCAAAACCTAAAATGGAATCGATAAGTATACGATAATATTTCATAGTTATAGTTGATTTAAAACATACCTTTTACGGGAAAAAATGGTCCATGACCAAAATAAGGCGTTAATGTCACACTAGCCATAGTGATGAGCATAAGTGTTGGCGTAAGACGAATAAATCGATGAACATAATACATAATACAAAGTTTAACGTTTAAACCATTAGATGATTTATTTACTTCTTTTGTAAACAGAACGGCTGTAAGAAATCCGCTAATAACAAAAAATGTATCAACACCAAATACTGCACTTAACAGAAATTGAAATGAAAACTGTTGTGTCCATTGTACAATTTTTACAATATTATCTACTGTTAGCAAACTAAATACGAATGTGTGTCCGAAAATAACCCATAATAAGGATAATACACGAATACCATTTAAAAATTTAAATGAATCGGCTGATTCATTGAATGTAAAGATTTTTGATAATACTCGTAAACATGAAAATTCTGCTAGAAAATAACTAGTAGATATTTTTCTCAAATCGAACAATGTTCCAGTAAAAATGATAAGAACCAATGACGAAATAACGAATAATGCGACAATTGTGCCACTCTAAAATCAAAATACCATTGTACATTATAGAAAAAATGGTCAAAGAAAAAGTCATATATACTTACATTTGACTGCTTTTTGAATATATGTGTAAATGAGCGATGTTCAACACAATTAATATAATTTTCTGTGATATTCTGATAAAATGGTAGAAGATTCTGAATAAATGAGACTAATTCCCTTTCATTACACGAATGTGGCACACAAAACCCGTAGGCTAAAGATGGTGGTCGAAACACTACTTGTGGATTGACTGGTTTCGATATTATACAATATTTTCCATGATAAGGTTGAGATACATATGATCTATCTAACTGATACAATTCCTCGACACATTCATCGTAACTACCCAACCAAAACAGATTTCCATGCATAATACCAGATGATGGTTTTCCCCATGAATCAATAAATTTTAATGCCCATTTTTCGTTGTTACGAGTGGCATTTACAAGTGACATAAGATCATACCAACATTCGGTGAAGATAGTGGTATTCGACAATGTTTTGAAGTGTTGAAAATTTGTTAACAATGAATAAGGTTTATAATATTCATCAGTAAAAATGTTATTATTTTGTGATTCTTGAATTAGAATATTAATAACTTCATGAAAACTGACTGGCTGTTGAACAGTTTCAATGGATGAAAACGTAAAAAATATTGCAAGAAAGAGAGTCGTAGAAGAATAATGCATATTTTGTATTTCTTAGAAAAGTACGAGGTTCGTGCGTGTTATCGAAAATAAAATGTATTTGGTTTATATAAGTACATAAAAGTAAATGAGATAGGTCTATCTGGAAAAGCAAATATGAACTTTATAAAACGTAGATATACATTCATTTCTTTTCATCTATTATTACAATGATTGTGAATCTAATAAGGTATCGTTCTAACTCTTTTATGATTGCATATCTTGAATAATATTCTTTTTGAATTCAGACATATTAGACGGACTAGAACAGTCTATTCACGTTCAACAAAGATAATATTTGAAAATAAGGTACGAATCGAAACGTCGTTGACATGATATAAAACAGGTATTTAAAATTTAGAGTTTTGGTAAAACTACCAAATTTCTTTAATTAATCAGAAAAATACAATAGTCCATTGAATATTATTTATTTTTATTTGCCTTCATGAAATGCGAATGATGATGCATTGGCAGTAGTAGCTAAAAAATTATGATACGCTTATGGTTGTTCATAATGATATCGCGTATCAGAATTCGTCATCATTTGTTTAGTAACTGATTTCCACCGTTTTATTGTTGTTCCGTGATGTTGTTGCTGTTGTAAATTGACAATGGGTTTTGATTGTTCTGCATTTGTTGTTATAGCCATGTTTTCTCGTCGAAATCGAATTAAATTCCAATCGTACACATAATCTCGAACATAAGAATGTTTTACAAAAAGATCATTAAATAATTCTAAAAGATATTGATGATTTGGTTCTTCATTAAATTCTAATTTTCGACAATAATTTAAGTAAGTTAAAAATTCGTCTGACATATTCATGCATAATTGATCGGGAGGTGTGTGTAATTTACGTTCACAAATTTTTTCATATTTTTGACTTTTACCAGCTGCTTTCAATCCTTGCCACGGAAGACCTAGTTAAATCAACTTGAATTATATAGATGATAAATATCTCAGTTATTGTTCTCACACAGATTAATTAGCAATACGTTCACTTACGTCCTTCATGTAAATAGACAAGTACATAGCCTAATGCTTCTAAATCATCTCTTCTCGATTGTTCTTTGCCTAGATGACTATTAATCGAAGCATATCGTGGCGTGCCCGTTAAACCTTTTCCTTCACGATAGAGAATATGGCGTCTTGTTTTAGTGTCCATGTACCTTTTTGATAGTCCAAAATCGATCAAATACAAACGATGTGACCAAGAATAAACACCCATCAAAAAATTATCTGGTTTTAGATCTCGATGAAGAAAATAATGAGAATGAATATGTTGTAATCTACAGCGAAAAAAAGAATAGTTAAGATACGCTAGACGCACAACGTTTAGAACAACGTAATTTCACGTTGAAAATAACGTTTTGAATTTAAATCTTATTATAAATTAATAAATATTAAAATTTAAATGATGGAAAGTTATATGATTTGGTGATGAATATTTTTTGCAGTACCTTTTAAGCATTTGTTCAGCAAGTAACAGTATAGTTTTTAGTGAAAATGATCGTCGACAATAGCACAGAAGATCTTCGATGCTTGGTCCTAATTTTTCCATAACCAAAACATTATATTCATCGGTTTCGCCATACCTACATATACATCAAACACGTGATTGTCAATAAAACTGTGTGTTGAAAAATATTCAATATATTTTTAACGCTAATTTTATGTAAATGTTAAGTCTTTTTTGAAAAATTCTGCAATTTATGGATACTGTTTTAAGGAAAACAACGCCACTGAATAATAATTTAAGTTGTAAAGGTAAGTTTTTTCCTTTTTCCTTAATTTAGAGCCAAAATATTCTTATGTTCTGTAATAAGTATGTGGAACAGCACATACATCGCAAAAGAAAATTTCTACAGTCCTTTTTCTATCATTTTTTCCATTTTTTTCAGGGATAAGTGTACTCAAAAATGGAACAAATATTCGTCTTACCAAAATACTTTTGGTATTCCAGTCCCGGCTACTAATCTCAATACTCTCGCTTCATACATTAATTGTGGATACTGCAATGTGTTTGATTCAAACTTCACTGCCACTTGTTCATTTGTTTGAATATCGTCCGCTTCATATATGTGTCCAAAACTACCTGAACCGATCATTGTTGATACTCGCCATTTTCCGGTCACTAACAATGGTACTTGTGGTACATCACTGTTCGTATGTGCTGTTCGATGTGATGATTGTAGACGCATGGGAACAAGTGCTGGTACACCGTGTGTTTCACCTTCACACGACATAAAGTCGCTCTTTTTTATAAACTAAAGATCATCATACTTTTATTGTAATTTTAAATAAATAAGGTAGAAAATAATAACATAAACAACCATTAATAATTGAAAGTTGGTAATTTTCAAATGTTCATTGATTTGTGGTTGTTGCTGTTTTTTTAGGAAGAAAATAAGATGTACTTTTGGAAACGAAGAGTTTTTTAGTTTTTGTTATATTCGCGCTGTATTTTTGGGTGTTTGAAGAGCGATTGTTCGAAAAATTGATCGAGGCATAGTATAATCGATATTCGAACAAAATCTTCATACAACACCAGTTCATAACTGACTGTGGACTTTTAATAACACAAGTAATCTACTACCGAACGCAAAATATTCTACATTCTTAATACTAAAGGAAATAATTATTGCACAAGATTCATTTTGGTCAACTGACTCTTCTTGAATATACCCTGGTCGTCTATTCTTATATAAGAAGTCAGTTATGAATCATACTAGAAACTTATAAATATCAAATACTGTTCGTCTACACCAGTAACTTTTTTGTCCTTTTCATCATATCACCAACAGAAAAATAAAGTTCATTTATAGCCGCGGAAAAGTGCTTCTGCGTATTCAGCACACTCGACAGCCTAGAAGATTTTCTATTTTTGGCAAGACGTATTGCCAAAAGCTAAAAAATAAAGCTTAATCAAACAATTCTCTTTTATTTGCTACATACAGTACCTAAACTTCAGAATAAAATACACATAGAAAAAGAAGCAAAAAGTTGAGACTGTTCAACGCTTGACTGATGAAGGAAAGTCGGTTGAGCTGATATTTCCAGGATAGATAAATGGAGAAGTTCTTGACTAAGCTATGTGATTTCTCCATTGTAATATACCTAAATAAGTAGGGCAGACTTAGGCATTCATCCGAGTTTCACATCTCGACAAAGCAGAAATAGATTCTCTAAATATGATAGTCGAATTCAGCATCAAAAGTAATCTATGCAAGATTATTTTCATCGAATTTGGTATGTACAATATATAGAAACTACCTCAAGTACTACTGGTTTTTCAGTGATCCATAGCTCAAACATCCTCGTCGAACCACTGTTTTTTTTCATCAGAATATATAGTACTGAGACGATCTTTCATTTGAAACTACTCATGGGAATTTATCTTGGGAAACAGACTGAGAGGAACCGTTACAAGTTAGGCAATCTGCTGGGAAAAGGAAATTGCACTTTACGCTGAAACAGTACAGTCCTTATAACACTTTACGCGTATCACCCACGGAGTGGCGATTTGCGCAACCATGCTCAGCTCGACAAGCTCTACAAAATGAGGTTGGTCTTAGGATTTGCGCGAAAACTTTTGTAAAGTGTGGTATATTGCATATATGTATGATCCATATATGGATTTACTCTCTCTTGGGTTATCGAGTGTGCTAAACACGCAAAAGCACAATTCTATGACTCTAAATAAACTTTATTTTTTTATTCACGTTGATATCTTAAGCCTTAAAATGTTTTTTTGATCAATTCGTTGCGCAGCTTTTAAATTTAGACATATTTTCTTTATCACTCGATCACTTGCTACTCCGCTGCGAGTGGCATCTAGTCTGATTTAAACGTAGGCGTCATAAAAAAAAGCGTTGTCGTTAAAAAAACGCATGATAACGTGCTTGTAGTGGTTCTAGTTTAGTCTCATTCCGTATTTACTTTTCAAAAGTCTATAAAGAGGCGATTTCATTTGTCTTAGTTCGCTCAATTTTAAACCAATAGTGAAATGACTCAGCATTAGCATATTTCTTACATATCTTACGTTCTGTATTTCGTGAACACAACAATTAATCAAACTAGCTTTGTATTAAACGCTCTTTCGTATCGCAAAATTCGTAGTCCGAAGTACTTCTGAATGCATTAATATAAAATAATCCAAAATATAGATTATTGCAGTGTTTGATGGTAATGCTTGATAGCGTAATTTAGGGGCACCAAATCCACTCTTTAGATTAGTCTGATCAAAGTTCAGCGTCAAGTTTATCCTGTCTTATTTGTCTGTTTCTTTTCTTGATTCTGTAAACTACCTTGCTGTTCGTGTTATTTGTGCAAATTTGACTATCGTGTTTCTAGTTCTTCTATTATTGCTTAACTATCTTCCTAATCTTTTTACTTCGCAAGTATTTCAGACTTGTTCAATTCTTTGAAATCTATCATCAACTTAATCATCTTTCAATATTCTATTCTATTCATTCTTCTTTACGTTGTCATTATATTCTAAATATGTTCGTGTTCGTATTCTTTTCTCTAATTAACAGTTTTTATGCTTAAGGAGTTCAGTCTTTTTCGTCTCTTCTGTAGTTATCTTTTATATTATTTGTTTTTATTTCTAGTTCATATCTTGTTTCCACATCTTTACTGTCATCTTGTACGTTGGATGGGATGCCACGAAATATGAGCTCTTGGCATTTGAGCCTAAGAAAAAGAACAATATCAGAAATTAAGTAAAGCACTGACTCTTTTAGAATATCCTACTGTGTTAGATTAAAAATAATGATTAACTGTTGTAGCTGTTCGTCCATTTATTCATATGCAGTTCGTTTTGTCAATTTTTCCAGTCCATCTTTTAATTTCTGAGCCATACTTAAGTTGACATGTTGTCCATTTGAAGATCTATGATCGATTATTTTTTGAATGTTAATAATAACTGCAATAATCATGAAAAGTAAGACTCATCTATTGGTGTATCGGTGGATGGGGTGGGAGTCATTGCGTTATAATTCGTGAAACTTTGATTATCTGTCAGTTTTTGCGAATAAACATATCTTACTGAAGCATGCGTGTACTCTGCGAAAAAAAACATCGTATACGGGTACATCTTACAGCAGAAAAACATTAGAAATAATAAATTCTCCCTTAGATCACACAACTATTTACCGCATCTATTTTAGATCTTGTTTTTATTTCTTCTTGTAAAAATGGTTAAAGCTCGTCATTGGACACGTCCAGAAGAATTTCATGGTGAAGTAAAAGAAAGTGATCTGAAATTAGTTGAGGAAAATTTATCCGAAGATTTGAAAGATGGAGGTAAGATAATTTAATCAAGCAAATTCTTTTGTGATTAGCGTGGAGCATAATTTTGAAGAATAAGAGCTTATTTATGGGATGATGGCGTATAAGTTGAATATACTTAATCAAAAAGACTGTTGCTAATGTATCTGATCTCGATTTAACAAGTATTCTTTGATTTAAATTCTATATCATTTTCAGAAGTTTTATGTGAAGCTGTTTATTTAACTGTCGATCCGTATATGAGGTATTTACGTTCATTAATTTTTACGCTCTTTTTAAGAATACAATATACTCTTCGTTTTAGAATGCACGGTTCAGTGATCGGTGAACGCAAAACAATGTTTGGTGCAGCAGTATCAAAGTACGTAGAGTAATGTTATACACACAATTTAAGATGTTATCAAATATTTATCTTTTAGAGTGATCAAGACTCGTAATGGTGAGTTTCCATTGGGAACATTGGTTTTATCCGGTAGTGGATGGCGGTATGAAATTAAAAAATTGATTTATACAAATCTTTTAGAAGCATATAAAGTATATACGTTTGTACATAATTTCTTTTTCTTTATAGGACACATTTTATTTCGAAAGATGGAAAAGATTTAAAACCAATCCCATTTGATTTAGGAAATTTATCACCATCTGTCGCGTTGGGTGTACTAGGAATGCCGGGGTATATCAGTTAATAAAAGAAACTTAACATTGCCTGCTATCTTTCACGTTTTTATTATTTAGTTTAACGGCTTATTTTGGTCTTAATCGAAAGTTGGAACCGAAATCTGGTGATGTTTGTCTAGTAAATGGTGCTGCGGGAGCAGTGGGTTCAATAGTTGGTCAACTGGCAAAATTAAAAGGATGTACAGTGATTGGATTTGCGGGTACGGATGATAAATGTGAATGGTTAAAACAAGAGTTAGGTTTCGATCACGCATTCAATTATAAAAAAATAAAATTAGAGGATGCACTCAAACAAGCAGCACCGAAAGGTGTTGACATTTTCTTCGATAATGTAAGTACATATCTTGTAGTATTACTAGAGATTTTATCAAATTCATATTTTAAGATTGGTGGAGATTTTTTCCATGAAATGATCGATAAACATATGGCACAGAATGGACGAGTGTGTATTTGTGGTTCTATCTCGAATTATAATGATAAAGAATCGAAAAAATGTATGTAGAGTTTTCATCATTGACAAGAGGTTTTTTAACTAGTAAATTACAATGTTGAAAGCAATTATTTCGAAGAAGAGTAGTGGAATTATTTACGAAAATGTATTTAGTTTTTCGAGTATTTTGTTGTTCGGAGTATTACATGTGTGTAAAAGGTTAAAAAAATAATATATGCTCTAAATGATATGTGATTTGTTTATTTAGATCCTCAAATAAATATGAAAATTTTATTTCATGAATTAACTATTCGTGGTATAATAGTTAGTTCACATTATAATGAAGCGCAAGAAGCATTAGCAGAAATGTCGGAATTAGTTAAAAAGGTAACATTTTTATCCTCGACTTAATGGAAGAATTTTATTCTTTGGCTTTTCTTTCATAGATTTGTTGATTTAACTGTTTTTCTTTGCTTTTTTTTTCTAGGGTCAATTGAAATATAAAGAAACATTATTTGATGGTTTTGACAAAATGCCCGAAGCATTTGTTGGTTTATTCAAAGGTGAAAATACCGGTAAAGCTGTTATTAAAGCAAGCAATTATCCATAGATATTGGATCCAGTCCGCCGTCTAACGAGATCAGTTATGATTATTTCATCTATTTTATTAAATTTTTCTTTTTTAGCGCTTTTTTCTACTTTTCATTTGTAATTTAGCTCTCAAGCAAAAATTTCTAGTATATATATATGATGATGGTTTTTATGAAATATTTTGATGTTTTTACATCGTTAAATCATTCCTACTTTGATTAAAATAATTTCTGATTTGATATTGATAAAGACTTTTTTTACTTAAAATAGTATGTGTTTCTAATAGCACAATGTTTGCCTATTTGAAGGATGAATTTGTTCAAAATACTTTTGTTTAACGGTCGAATAGAGTTTTTTTTTCTGAGAAATTTATATTTAGTTCGTTTGTCTTTAATCAACATATAATAGCAGATAATTTTTTTTCAGATATTCCTACGACTGGACTGTGATGACTGAGATTAGTTTTCGAGACTCTATCAAAGTGTAGCAGTATTGATTAACAAAATTTTATCGGCACTGATCGTGTACGAGTGTAGGCCTGGAACAGTTCATATATAAAGCGTTCTCATTCATCTAAATCAAAATACTCTCTCCATTCTAGTTCATATGAACGGGACCTATTCCATCAATTCACCATTCATTTGACATCTATGAACTGAATGCTATTGAAGAGAATTTTTCACTAATAAAGTTGAGATAGCTTAGTTTAGAATAAGTCTGGGAGAGTGAAAGTTGGAACTTGGAAGGTAATCAATAATAATGAATCGAATTTAGTCATAAAGCAATATCTAAGAAGGTTTTATCAGTCGAAACTTATTTTGCAGTTTAGACAAGAGATGCACTAAATGAGCGATCCTATTATTACTAACCTAGAAATTAATACTTCTGTCGATATTAGTTATATAGGCTTGAGATGGAACATAGTACTACCTTTAACTGCTGCTTTTCAGTTTTGTGATAGTCCTTTCTCACATTCGAATCCAAGTTATACTAACTCTGCTACATCATAACTATTTCTAGACTTCCCAAATAAATGGTAAATTATCGAAAGTTAGTTTCCATTCAAACGAACGGGAATGGTCGAACCGTTCACCGTTCTCTGAACTAAATGCAAATTGTACCTGGTCTACACAGGTGTGCACCGGTGCTCATCCATATCAGTATAAAGTATACTTGATAGACACTTGTTCGGCATCAGTGCATGATATTCTATGAATGATCGATGCTAATCGGCATTTGTAGGACACTGGTGTTCGTCAGTGCTGCGCTGAATTGCTTTTTTGCAAGATCGTTTTCTGTGAAAAAATAGTTCAGTAAATGTATTTACGAACAAAGTATGTAATACGTATAAGAAAAATGAGAATATTTTTAAATTCAAGTTCATTCGTAAAAACTACATATTTTCATTAGAATAATTCAATTTCTATTGTAGATCTTTCTATCATGTCTATGAAACGTAGTTCAAATTATGAACCAAAAGAGTCGACATTTGACGAGCAAGAACGTCAGAAAATTTTACGTTTACATCGTGAAATGCATGATGGTAAAGGCGTACCTGCTGCTGTGAATGGTCAACTACCTCGTCTAGAATGGCTCTATTCGGGTGATAAAACAACCTCCCAAGATTATCTTCTTGGAAAAAAATTCAATGATAAACAGCCACCTCCTATAGAAACGATAAATCCTGATTATGTATCAACATCGACAATCGATTTAGCAAATAAAATTCGAGAAGATCCGCTATTTATGATTAAAAAAAAAGAAATTGAACAACGAAGAAGAATTTTAGAGAATCCAGCACGTTTAAAACAATTGAGAGATGTATTAGAACGAACAGAACATGACGAACAACAATCGCATCAGAGAAGAAAAAAACACTCCCATCATCATCATTCAAGGTAAAATGAGAGTCGCTAACAATGAATGTCAAATTTTATTATTTTTCTTATTATTTATATTTTTTAGGCATAGTCGTTCTCCGTCACCATCATCGGTCCATCGAACACGAGAGAGATCACCATTGACTCATAAAAGACGATCCTCGCCTCCATTTTCACACAAAAGAGAATTACCACCTTCCAGATCATCTTCATCGACTAAACCTTCAAAATCATCAAAATTAAGTTCTGACGAACGTGATCGCCGTTTACAAGAAATGATGTCAAATGCTCGATGGCGTGATAATGTTCGTGAATCAAATGTTAAAAAATTGAAAGAACGTGAAGAACGAGAAGAACAATTTAATGAAAACGTTCGAAAAAGACAAAATGCCAATTCAGATTCAGATGATGATACGCGAGCATTTCTAAAACCAATGTTAAAACAAGCCTTTAACGAACCACATCTACACAGACGCGATATTAAACATAAAAAAACATATAGAAATTGATTAAATATTTTCGATCATATTTTGTCTTATCTACTTTTTTTGTACATAGAAGCAAAAAAAAGTCATTGTTGTTATTCGTTTTTTTAATATAAAACGTATCTCGTTTTCGAGTGTATTACTCGTTTACATTTACAGTTTGTAGAATTTTTCAGTTATTTTCTTAATCTTGTTATTCGAAAAGATTCACCATTTTTTAACTATATGAAATGAAACAAATTTTTAAGAATCTTCTATGTTTTAGATTAAAGTGAAGCTGTATGATTTCGTTGTGTTGTTGAATGCAGATATTTCAAAAATATTTGAATTTAAACTGTTCAAACTGAATATTTTTTTTATTGTACAATGATCTGCATTCAGTTTTGTTCATTGCTATCTTCAAAAGTTATATTATTTTCATTACCACATATTTTGTACAATAATAATGAAGATATTTCATTTATTAGTCAATATTTGTCGATATTTATGTGAAAAATGGTTTTCAATTGGAAACGAAAACGTAAAAGAAGAATATGTAAAATATCCACATCCGGAATTGAAACGTAAATTATCTCGAACTCGTAGTATTACCGTTTATGGTTATAAACCATTATTATTATCAACATTTCTTAGTATTTTATTTTTATTTTTATCCGTTATTATTGCTATTGGTTTTAGTTATTTACCATTATTTATAGCCAGATTGAGTAGTAATCGAGATTTATTAACACTTAACACGTCATCATCATCTACGAATAAAGATAGTACCACACATTCATTGAGTCTATTAAGTACAACACATGTTTTTTTTCCAGCAAGTTCAGGTAAATCCTACTATGAACAACATTCACCATCAGAAATATATAAACAGCAAAATGATCTACAAATACAACAACACGAAGATCAAAAATATTTTAGTGGGGGTAAACCGAAAAAAAATATTTCAAATGGTATGTAAAAATTAATTTTATTAATAACTTAATACGAAAAGTAATCGTCTTTTATCAGACATTAACGTAGAAAAGAAATTTTCGAGAAGATATGTCACGATAGAAAAGGTCTTTAAAAAAAATTTCATGTAACAAATTAACTTGTAATTTGTTTTTTTTTATGGAAAACACCAAACTTTCTCTCGTTCTTTCTCTATTCAAAAAAATTTTTCGATTTTAAGCTGAACATAGCTTAATTTAGAGAAAAGTGTGGACTGTAAAATAAGATCATTTCCAGCGTTCCACAAGTTTTTTTGAGAAAAGTTACGAATTTTTTAAGTTTTTGCTCAAAAGGCTGAAAAATCTTTATTTTTTAGTTTCGTAAATTGTTCTCTGTCTGCAAAATGCTTTCTTACATGGACTATGACAGGATAATGTGTTCTCTTCACACTGAGACATCTTCTGAAATTGTCCAGCCGTTTTCCGAGGAAATATGAACATTATCGCAAATGCTGTAAAATGAATGATCTATCTATATGTTCAAAGCACTGGTAGTTCGAACCTTCAAACGCTATGTGACGTGATCCGATCGAGTTCAAAATGTTACTGTGACTAGTTGAGATCATAGATTAAAAGATTTTTAATGTTTTCTTCTCGAGCTATAGGACTTTTAGAATCGAACATATTGGTGTTTTATTGGTTTTTTCATATTTTTGCTATAACTCACGATGAAAAGATGATAAAATATTTTGAAAGCTTAGCCTTTGAGATTCGGTCTTTAGAAATCACAAGAAAATTCTGTGATCGTAATATACCGAAATTAAAAGCCTAGTTATCTAGAAACTCGCTAAGAAACTTGAACAGAAAATTCTGAGCAAGAGTACAGTAGTTTTCTAATTTCGATTTTCGAACTTTGATTAGATTTTCAGCACAATCGAACGTTTTCCCTTAAGTTTGTTAGAGCGGTCGTATCGTTAAAAGATGGTTGACTGTTCTTCGTTGGTACATGAGAATTGTTTGTTATTTTCACGTTTTATAATTTCACAACGATCATTGGTCATTTGAAAATCCATGTTCATAGAAGTTTTCAGAGTAAAAAGCAATGATTATTGAGAATAGTTCCTTTCTTGCATTTACTTCGTGTTATTATTCACACATCATAATTTTTTCAAGAACAATTAGTATCAATTATTATAATTAATTAATTTTCATTTAGATTTGCGTCTTGAAGCTGAAACATCATTACATTTAGCATTACGTTTCGTTGCTGAAGGTAAATTAGATAAAGCGCGAAGATTGTTCGAACATTCATTAACATTAGATCCACTGAATAGTGAAATATTGGTAGAATATGGACAATTCTTAGAAAAACATCATAACGATTTATTACAGGTAATAAAACTCCAGTGACAACTATTTAAATAATTTAATTTTCATATTTTCTATTTAGGCTGAACATTATTATTCTCGTGCATTGACAACACATCCTACACATCGTCGTGCATTAGAAAATAAACGACGTTGTCTACCATTAGTAGAAGAAATTGATCAAAAAGCGTTTCAATTCATTGATCAATTATTAACAGAATTTTATCGTATACCAGATACAAATCCTTATTTGCGACGAGCAAAACGAGATGCCTATTATTTACATATTTATCATTCAAATGCTATTGAGGGTAAGATTACTTCTGCCAAAGTTGTTTTTCAGAGATGAGCAAGTACTGAATTTTTCGAGTACGAATATTTTTCGATTTTTTTCTTCATATAATGGCCAAATATTTGAAAGTTCAAACTTTCATTCTTCAATTTTCTCATATGTTCAATATCATTGAACGAGTAATGAAGTGAGCACAACAGAAGAAATAACATTTTCATATATAATTGTGAAACTTGACTAGAATCATTTCTGTTGAAATATTTTTCGTTATCATTCAGATAGTAGTTGGTTTAAATTTTTTCGGTAGACAATACAGTTTGCTGATTTAAAATTATAGGATAAGCGGGACGCTTGTGATTTTTGATCAAGTGTAGCTCTCAATTCGAACATAAGCGGTTTGTGCCCACTGAGCATACAGTGAACTGAATAAGTTTCAACGTTGTTTATAAAATATATAGTTGGTTTACTAGCTAATATTCAATCGAGTTTTTCTCCGTAATCCTCTCATATGTTGTAATTTCTACGGAGTTGTAAATTCATCGGCGACTTGAGTCAGCACAGTATAACGCTGCTAGAACGGTTTCTGGAGCAATGATGTATAGTTCAAAGGAACGAGTCTTTAAAGATTTGAGATGGGAAGCTTTGCGTGAAATTTTCAAACGACATAGGTTAGTTTTATTTCAAAAAATAGTTACGGGAAAAACGCCTTCCTTTCTGAAAACGTTGTTACCTTCATGTCCAATACCTTCCATCAATTTTTCTTACTCTCTCCGAAATCGAGAAAAAATGCTTTTACGTACACCACGGTGCCATTTAAATATGTTGTACGAATCACTGATTTATCGAACCGTCAGAGATTACAATGCACTCCCAACTGAAACTCGAATGACTTTTCGTATAGGGAAGTTTAAAATGTGTTTATCGCCTAAATAGCTGACTAAAATACCATTAATTGACACCAGGAATGTTGATATTACTTATTGCAGATTTAAAGCTGGTTTTTCGCAGCTTCGAAAAGATTTATTTCGACGGAGTTTAGAACCTAATCTGTTCTGTATGTGTGATAATTCAACAGAAGAGAGTATTGTTCACTATTTCTTTGACTGTTCGTTATTTGATGTTGCTCGATCAGCTTTAAGATCGGTCTTTCAGTCGGAGTTAGTTCATCTTGCTTTTGATTTGAAAACGCTCTTGCTTGAAGTTCCTCTTACTACTAAAAAATTGAATATTATCGTCGAAGCCGTGACATCCAGGTGACGGATCGCTTCACTGTTAAAGATTGAACTATTATTTTTGCTTTAATTAACCACATCTGCTGTTGTGAAGTATAGCATATCAAACCCTTCCTCTCTAATCCCCATTCTAAAAGTCACATGATCACTTACATAACCTGACATGATTCACATTTATTGCTATTGAAAGGACGGAAGCTTATAAGGGTCAAAATTTTCCCTTGATATTTCTGAACAAGAGTTACATATTCAGAATCAGCGTGAAATTTTGCGTCGAATGAGGTAATGGGCACCTTGAAAAAACCATTGTCAAATTTTCGGAAAATTTGTAGTCCCTATCCCACCTTTGGAACATCGAAAAAAGGTTTTACTCAGACTTTTTCTAAAGATACTTTATTCGATGCAGAATTTGATGCTGATCGTGAATATCAGGTCAAAACTGGAAAATAGTTAAATTTTGATCGAAAAAAATCGATTTTACCAGGGACTACAAATTTTCCGAAAAATTGATAATGATTTTTTCAAGGTGCCCATTACCTCATTCGACGCAGAATTTCACGCTGATTCTGAATATGTAACTCTTGTTCAGAAATATCAAGGGAAAATTTTGACCCTTATAAGCCCCCGTCCTTTGTTAATTCATTTACTAATGTTATTCGTTAAAATTCTTATTCACTACTCGCTATAGACTTTGTCTGCTAGAATGGTGACGTTTGTTAAACTGTTGTTGTTGTCATTTTCCAAAGATTGCATTAAAGAATAAAAAAAGTTTATTTTTTTTATATATAAATTCGTCGGATAAGATCTGTTTTAGTTGCCAACCTCGTGTGTTCGTCTTTTTAGAACTCTTCTCCTTCAAAGCTGCATTCAGATCTCATAATATGACTACGTCTTGATTATAAGATATGAGCAGAAGGCTTGATGATATTTCGATGTGTATTCCGATAATTTCGTTTTTTTCTTGCGTAACATTAATGATTTCATGGTATTTAATGTGTTCCTTGATGGCTAATAATACCCCGCCCCCTCTTTCATCTGATCTATTGTTTTGAAATATTCGAAAGTGAGAAAACAAGAATGAGTGATGTCGTTTTAGATTAGTTTCGTTTATTAAAATAATATTATAATCTCGAAATCTCGCGTATAGCTCGTGTTTATATTTGTTCGCTGATTTTATGTCTATGACTGTTCAATATGACTGAAAATTTCATGCAGTGTTGACACTGAGTTGAAGCTGTTTTGCGATTTAGGCTACGAAATGTAGATGTTCGATTTGTATATTGTCGTATCTATGTCGTACTTAAACTAGCGTATTTTATATACACAGAATTATTCAATCAGTCCTCTCTTTCATAAGCTCAATCTTTATATCTTTTATATTTATTTCTAGGTAATACATTGAATTTACGAGAAACACGTCATATTGTCGAAACTCGTATGGCTATTGGTGGAAAAAGTTTACAAGAACAACAAGAAGTTTTGGGATTAGATTTAGCTTTGCAATATGTCAATTGTACGTTGGTGAATCGTTTGGGATCGATTACGAAACAAGATATTTTAGAAATACATCGACGAGTTTTAGGCTTTGTTGATCCATTAGAGGCCGGTCAATTGCGTCAACATCAAGTTTTTGTTGGATCATTTACACCACCCAAACATACTGATGTCGAACTTTATTTAGAGGAATTTTTAAAATGGTTAAATTCTGGTAAATATATGAACAGATAAATACATTAATCTGTCAAGATTTCACATAACCAAATCCAAATTTTTGCTTTGTTTTCAGATGTAGATACTCGAGATTTACATGCCATTGAATTGGCTGCACTAGCCCACTATCGATTTGTTTATATTCATCCATTCATTGATGGAAATGGTCGAACTGGTCGTCTATTGATGAATTTAATTCTTATGAGATCTGGTTTTCCACCCGTGATTATTAAAAAATCTGAACGTTTAGCCTACTATGCTTACTTGGATCTGGCTAATGATGGCGATATTCGACCGTTTATCCGTTTTATAGCAAAATGTACAGAGAGGACATTAAGTGAATTTATTCGATATTCTCAACCAACAAAAGGACAAGAAGTTTCAACACAAGAATTATTATTAAGTGAGAATAGTTTTGATGATGGTTTGGGAACAGATGGAAGTGAAGAAAGAGTTATTGTGGTTTAGTAGTGAACATACTCTTTCATACATCACTTATTTAGTAATAGGATTAGAATATATTGTTTGATTCCCAATTTCTATCTACAAAGTTCTTAAAGCTATCTATCTAAATAATCTATGAAGTATGGTGCTTTGTTAGATACAAATTTTTTAGTTTTGTTTGTTTACAAAAAAATCCTACCACTCTTCTATTCATTTCTTATATTATTTCATGGTGTATGTTGTTTATTTTTCGAATGAATTATCTTACTGCATCATACTTTGTTAATTATTTATTATTCTTTTTAATTCTCTCTTTCTACCGACTTATACCCGTTTGTTCTATGTATCTGCTCAGATGCTTATTTTTTGTTTTGTGTTTTTCATTGTCGAATATCGCAGGAAGTATGTGGTAATGAAACTATTTTTATTTTCTCATGTTGTGTGTATATGATATATATTTTTGTTATTTCGTGGTTTTACTGTTATTTTAAAGAGACGAAGGTAAACGAAAGTGTGATTAGTAAAAATTGATACAAACTTATTTTACGGCCTCTTTCAGCAATTATCACATCAATGACGATCTATACTTTCTCATTCTCAACCATCGTTTTCCCGACTACATGTCTTGCTTAAATTGAAAAAAAAAATAGAATTCACCAAAATAATAAATAATAGAATACACCAAAATTGAATGGCATATTATTAATTTGTCCAAGGTTAGTACATGACTTACCGATGCGAAGATTCAAGTGCAATAACGTTTGAAGTATGTAATGAACAAAAAATGTCGTTACTCGCGGGTATGACAATATTGAAAAATGACTTCATACCCCCTTAAATAAACTCAATAAATTTTTGAACTGCAACGTGTTAGGTTCGTTTCATTTTAGTCAGCTACACTTTGTATGCACAAGCAGTTTATTATATAACAAGACAATGACAAATACAACAGAAAATAGACGTATATATATGTTGTAGCGAAAACTGGAATTCGGTGAAATTCTAAATTTCGCTAGGCAAAACTGGAATCCGAGTTTTTCCTAGCGAAAACTGAGATGCATGTGCGTGCACTTGCTTGATTCCAGTTTTCTCCAGTGAAAATCGAGATTTCGCTAGGTAAAAGTGAAATCCGAGTTTTGCCTGGTGAAATTTAGAATTTGACTAGATGAAACTAGAATCCAAGTTTTTTCTAGAGAAAACTGAGATGCATACATATGCCGATTCCACTTATCTCTAGTGAAATCTGGAATTTGGTCAGATAAAAGTAGAATTAATGTAATGGGAATAGATTTCAAGTTATAGAAACAAAATAAATATTTTACAAAGATGAATGAACAATCACATTGTTTAAGGGTTTCTTCTCTTCCCCCCTCCCCCTCCAATGCCGTACTCTTCGTCACACAGAAATGTCTGTTGACGAGTTGTTATCTTTCTCTTGTTTTTACATCGATTAAATAGAGATAATAGCTGTATTGCTGTCACATAAAGTAGTGATTTTGATAAAAGTGTTGACCGTTACTCAACCGACTGGACGAGATAAAAGTGAAAAATAATATCACATCTTCCATGCGCATTTTTTACATCATTTTAACTTGTTCTATAAACTAGATAAAATGCACGTAGTATCATACTTTTTTCCTACAATACGATTTTTGATTTTGGATGATAACAACCCAACGCAACCACCATCTGTGATTTTTGAAAGTGCTCCTTGTTTAAATGCCACTATTTTAACGTCCAATACTATAAATGCTCCTAATTTAAGCATCATAACAACAGCAGCTCAATGTTTAGTCATCACAATAACAGCTGTGGGCAATGTTAGGCAAGGTGACTTTTTCAAAGAAACCGATAATCACATTTCATCATTAAAGGAACAATCTCGTACAAAAGCTGTTATTAACAAGAGGATCTACGATGATATCATGGTAGCATTGAAATTAGAGAAAGGTAAAACTGGTTATCTCTCAGCGAACAGAGAGCATGGGGACAACAGAGTTCTGTGGGACAAACTTTTCTATTGCGTCAAGCTCATGAGCCGGAATCCAAGCGCAGAAATTTTCGTTCCGTCCCATAAACCCGAACCCGTAAGCAAAAAATGTTGTCACAAAGTCGTCTATCCTGTGAAAATAATTTATGGACTTCTTTTGTTTTGTCTCATTTGTCCCGTAATTTTTGAAAACTTTTTCTTGATGATATAAACCATAACTATCACAACAAATGCTGGTGTGCTTAGATGAGAGCTGAAGTTCGTGCCATCACGACATCATGGCTCCGTATAAACAAATTGGACAAAGATTCAAACTCTAGTCCTATCGCCTACGTTGAACAATATTAACCAGAGTTGCTCCCAGCGGTATATTGTGGCAAAATTCTTTGGCAGATCCGGAAGATGTTCCAAATTACTCACAGTAGGCAATTTTGACTAGGCACATGGACATATGCTGTAGAAGTGGTAGGTAAGTCTGTAAACACACTTTTTATAGGTTTTCGGATATGCTCTTCACAATGGTGAGATTTTCAAAATCTAAAAATAATTGTTTCTGGGTTTTCGAAAGATCGGATCTCTAGAAGACCCATAGAAAATATTTTTGGATGTCGAAAATCTCACCATTGGGAAGAGCATATCCGAAAACCTATAAAACATGTGTTTATAGACTTTCGTCCCGCTGCTAAAATGAACATTCAAATACCCATGCAAAATTTGCTGCAGTCATGCTTCTACGCTACGATTCAGTTTAATCGAAAACTTTCTGTAGAAAACTGTTTCAAATTATACATCATTTGATGCAGTTTTTGATGCTGATTCCAAATATCACATTAGTTTTAAATAAAAGTTTTTCTGAGCTGAGAAAAATAGATTTTACCTGGAAAACCAAGAATTTTGGAAAAACCTATAATTTGACAAAGGAGTGTTTGTGCTAACGCTGTTAACAGCTAATATATAGAAGAACATTCGGTGAAGCTTTTTCAAAATTAGAGCTTGGATGTGACTGGGGCATGCATTTTACTGAACTCCCTTTTTCGGATAACTCGCTAGAAAAATATTATATGCTTTCTTTTCAGTTTAGAAAGTCTAAAATTAGGAAGGTTTTTTAGCAATCGATGAAGACTTTGCCACTGAATATGTGGTTATTTTTCTACAAGGTTACTTTGGTTGTGCACATGATCCAGTTTTCCAAAAGCACCATTGTTTTCGATCCAGTCTTTCTTAGTGATTTTCCCACTAAGCTTGGCACTTAGAAAAAAAGTTTCAATAGCAAAGAGATAGAGCGTTTGCTGAAATATATGACCTGCTATTCAAATTCTAACTTTCATTTTTTCAACTAATTTCCACGTTGTTGCCCACTGTGCTACTGTCTGTTTCCGAAAATAATGACCGCGGTTATTTTTTGATTAAACTTTTGATAGAGGATAGATAGAGACCTGCGGTTTTCACTAGTTGATAGACAAAACCTGTACTCATCTTTGCGCAAGCAAAAATGATTTTTGACAAAGATTCAAACACCGGATTTTGAGCGGATCTTTGGAAAACCAGTTCGAATCTGTGAGAAATGACATAGAAATAGGTCGATCTTTCTTCATAGATGGATCGTCCAAAGTGCCCTCTGCAAGATGGGAAATAAGTAAACCCTTAAATGTTTCCCGTTCAGGCGTGGCATCGAATTTCCTGAGAGTCCCAGAATCAATATTTCTTTAGGTAGAATATCAAGATGTACTCTATTTTACCTACTCTATATGCCTTTTTACTTGAGAATAGTAAAAAGCGTTACTGTACTTCGGAAGATTTCTAGAAAACCCTTTCAAAAACCAAAGTATTTTCTGTTGATTTGTATGGCTTTTATTGAGCTGTATCATATAGAGCAGGTAAAGTACATCTTGAGATTCTGACGTAAGTTGGATTGATCTTGGCTTGGTTATGAATGTTTTAATTTTACTCAAATATCGCCGAAAATGGGTTATTCCACCTAATATAGGTTTTTACAAGTGTTTTGAAAAAAACATATTGCGGATGAAGTCATTTATGATGAGCCCGAAATTTTCGCATTTGCATGCTTCGCTCTTTTACTAGTCTTCGACTACTACGCCTTGAGAATCGAAATTCAAAAACCATAGTGCGATGATAGTCAGATCTCTTGGTTTTTCTCGATATTTTATTCTCGTGATATATTATATATTGTAAATACGCAACGTAAAAACAACAAGCAAACGTCAGTTCTTCGATACGATAGAAATAACATGTATTTGTACACGGTAACATCGTCTGAAAATGAGATAGCACACAAATGATGTCGTGTTTGATAACAACAGTGTACGTGCATTTGAGTCTAGGTCTACTTTTCAACATTATTGCTTGTCTTCGAATTCCAATGCCAATATCTAACATTCAAATACTCAAAAAGTCAATCATTATCACCAAAATTTTCCCATTTAATTTTGAAAAAGATTGAGAATGAAAACACTATCGAATTTCATTGTGTCATAACTTTGAAATAAACATGTAGAAAGACGTGATTTAACGATTTTATTGATAAAACGCGTTAAAACTAGAATCATGATTTTTTTTCAACAGAGAAAAAGGCCTTGACTTTACTGACGTCAAAGAAGTTATTTTTATTTCCCAAAGTAAATTGTGACAGCGAGAGGTAAAAGAATAGTTCGATAGATTACTAATTATTTCCAAGCTTTGAGTGTGTCCAATCGATTTTATCAAGCATAAATGAACACGGAATCAAGTTATCGAGTTGAACAAGTTAAACAAGTTACGACAAAACCAGAAACAAAGAATCAAAAATATTTTAAATTAACATTTCATGAGTTATTAACCATTTTGTGTGCAGCTACTGTTCCCATAGCTATCGGCATTTATACAACAATAACGACTGATCGACAAATAAAAGCAGCTGAAGAACGACGTCAGTTTGATTTGAAACAAGCAACTGAATTGCAACAACAACAAATTTATAATGATTTTATTGATAATATTTATACATTACATAGAGATGATGAATTAAATGAAACATCTAAACCATGGGCATTTGCTAATGCACGTTACAGAGCTGCAGATCGTCAATGGGATGCTATGCGGAAAGCACATGCATTACAATTTCTCAAAGAAAAAGGGTTGATTGGGAGAGAAAAGTACACAACAGACTGCGAAGTTAAACAATTGGTAGATATTATTCGATTGAATGAACTGGATTTAGACAATCTTCAGCTAACAAGTCAAACTGACAGTTTGAATAAATTGAATATGAAATGTGTTCAATTTGATCAAGTTTCAATGGTAAATGCATCATTCAATTTTGTCAACCTTAATGGTGTATCATTTGCTGGTTCAAGGTTAAATGGCGCGAAATTTGAAGGTTCTTCTCTCATCCGTGCTATTTTTAACGGCACGGAACTGCAAGGGACAGACTTTGGTGATTCAGATTTACGAGGTGCACAGTTCATTAATGTAAATTTATCGACGGCGAAAATAACATCAGATCAAATGCAACAAGCTATATGCCACAGTACAATAATAAATGAAACAGCGAGCAAATCGACGGTAGCAGGTATTTTTTTAAAAACTGTTTTGACTTCAACTCTTCACAAGTGCAAAGGGATTTTCCTGCTAAACGACCAAAACGATACGCATCATTGTACTGCAATTAAAAGAACAAACAACTTTTCAACTCCCTTCCATGTGCTATGACTATGTTTCTTTACAGTGCTGAACATAAAGCAATTATTTTTCCCTTTTATGTTCCACTAACTATAGTTAGTGATACTATAGTATAACGAATCCTGCACCAACTTTTGGCATGAACTCATGAGTATTTTTCCGATTGCAAAAACGCGTCTAAACGCGATTTCCCCCTGAAAAAGCTTCTAAATCGCAGGTTTTTATCCAAAATTGCGTTTTATTAGTAAATCTCGGTTAAACAACGCACCCAGGTGATTTTTCTGCAACATAAATCTGGAAAAATCTTTGCAGTAACTTTGCAGATTCTGCAAAGTGATTCTGTAGATTTGAAGCAGATCTGCATTGCAGATGTGCCAAGATTTGACCAAAGATCTGATGCAGATCTGCAAAAAAATCTTTACAGTTTCTTTGCAGTTCCTTTGCAGGTTTTTTGCAGAGAAACTGCAGA